AATTTTTGAAAATTACCTGACTAGAAAATTGAAAAAAATCAGGGACCTAAGTGAAAATTTTTGCAAAAATAATTTTTATTTCATAAATGGATAGTTTACTCTTGAAAGTGAGGCTTTATTGAAATCGGATTCTTGATCTAGAAATTGTGTTAAAAACTACAAAGTGTTAAAGTTCGGTAAAAATTTGGTAAATCGGATCGAATAAAAAATTTTAGAAATTTGAAATATGATAAATTAGGATTAAAAATATTACTTCCACATTTTATAATGATGGAAATAATATGGATCTTTGGATTTGAGAATTTATTTTCATGTTCAATTTGGACCGTTAGATGAAAAATAACAATATTGAAATTTTTGGAAAATGGCATTGGCAAAGTTGTAAAGGGTCAAATATTTGTCCATCTTTGACTTTGGAAGTGATAAGGTTTGTGTGGTTTGGTATTAAGGTATATATCATTAAGGGTAAAATGAATATTTCTCATTAAACGAATATTGTATTCATTTAAGCTTAAATAAAGTCTAAATTAACATGAAATTAACCAAAATTTCATGAAACCAAGCCATTTTTCAGCCAACATTTCGTGCTCCTTCATACCAAGGTAAGAGAAATTTTATTTTCCATTTTTGAGCAATTTTCTTTGGTTTTTGGATCATGCCATGAAATAGAAAATTGTTCTATTCGAAAAAAGCTATCATTTGGTACCATTATTGCTTGCTAATTTGATTTGTGTTCAAAGATCCCAAGTTCTAGGGTTTATGCTCATATTAGGGTTTATGGAATTGATGAATGATTTTGACGTTTTGGAGGTTGTAGAATCATTTCCAAGCATGATTGATGATTAAAATCACTTGTACATGGTTATATGAACAAATAAAGTTTCGACCAAATCCTACATTTAGGGGAAAGATGTGTTTTGATGAAATTAAGTTGGGGCTTTGATTGTAGAGATTTTATAAGGTTGAATCGAAGTTGATTTCATGTTTCAATCGAATAAAAATCGAGTAAAATCATGAAAACCCTAATTTTAAACATACAAAGCATTCAACCTTGATTATAGAGTATGAAAAAAATTATAGAAAATTATGTAGGGATTGGAAATGATTTAGGAAGTATTCTACAAGCCTTAGAAAAAATTGGGGATCATTTTGTAATTTTTGAAAAGTTAGGGGACCAAATTAGAAATTTTGGAAATGTTTTGGATTGTTATGTAATTGATCAATAGTTGATATACTATTCTTTAAATTAATGTTTGAGTGTTGGAATTGAAGTTAGGATGTGAAATTGGATTATTTTGGAAAGCTTGTAAAAGTTGAAGTTTAAATCACAAATATGGAAAGGTTGTGAGCTTAAGTGAAAATGTTATGTGAAGTTGGGATAAAAAGGAATTTGAGTGTTCAATTAGAAGTATTAATGTAAATATTTATGTTGTGACATGGAAATTATATAGAATGAGGATCTAAAATTTTGTTAGGAATTTATTTTTCAAAGTATGTCTATGTTAGTAAGATTATAACATTTGGTTGGAATTTGTATATGTTAGGTAATGATGTTCGTTTTGATTGAGTGTTTGAAATCAATATCAAATATTATTAAAGCTAAGGAAAAGCTTAAGGATGAAATGAGTAATTCTAAGGAAGATTGAAAGCTAAGGAGATCAGGTGAGTGCATTTAACTTGTATTTATGTTATCGAAACAAACATTGGCTTGAGATGAGCCAATGTCGGAGTTAATTTAAGAAGTGACTCCTAGTGCATGAGAGGTGTACTTCAAGCCTATATGTTTGATTGTTAAGCTTATAGATTTAGTGAATAAGTTAAGGATGCAAGTTGGTAAAATCTGCTTAGACATTATGTTTTGAACATAAAGTTTAGAAAATCACCAGAAATTCTAAACAAATAATTGAAGAATTAATCTTATATAATTGGATTTGTATATCAGTCTAGTTTCTTTTAGAACAAACGGAAACTGATTTTTATAGGTATACAAAAATATATGAATTTTTAATAAGTGATAGGTCAGAAAATAGGGCAGTAGATTCTGCCCGAAACAGCTTATGTCAGTTAACTTTGAAAATTCACTATAAATTGTACAGGTGGAACTAGACAGAGTGTTTTATATGGTTAGATTTTTATTTGAGTCTAGTTTTCATTGGTGCAAACAGAATAATTTTTCAGTATATAAATTAATACAGAATAATATTTGTTTGAAGGTAGTGCAAACTGCTAGAATATGAAATTTTGATAAATTGTGTATTGAAAGTAGTGGAAGGCAAAGGATTTAAATCTAAAGTTTATTTAGGCTTATATTTTGATTAAAAATATATATAAATAAAGTGTTAAAGTGAGTACAATTTTTTATTTGATTATTATAGTCGATGGCGATTTGCGATAAGTTAACATCATTTTATTTTTCAATATGATTTATAAATTTTTAGTATGAAATATTGTTATAAAATTTTTCATCAAGTTCTATGAATGATTTTGGGTATGAAATGCCCAAGTATGTTATTTATGATGATGAATTCTAAATGTTTACAGTTATCAGATGATTTTAAGTTATCAGATATTTACAGATATCAAATATTTTATAGTTATCAGAGACATATTAATAAATGATTCTATGATGATATATATAAGCCCATTGTATGTTGCATTGAGAGTCATAGGTATATTTGGCATGTCATTTAGTGAGTACTTTTCAGTTATCACTTATCAGTTTTCGAAACAAATATTGGCTTGCGATGAGCCAGTGTCAGAGTTACGTTAAGAAGTGACTCCTAGTGCATGAGAGGTGTACTTCAAGCCTATATGTTTAATTGTTAAGCTTATAGATTTAGTGAATAAGCTAAGGATGCAAGTTGGTGAAATATGCTTAGACATTATGTTTTGAACAGAAAGTTTAGAAAATCACCATAAATTCTAAAAAATTAATTGAAGAATGAATCTTATATCATTGGATTTTTATATCAGTCTAGTTTCATTTAGAACAAACAGAAATTGATTTCGATGTGTATACAAAAATAAATGAATTTTTAATAGGTGATAGGTCAAAAAACAGGGCAGCAGATTCTGCTCGAAGTAACTTCTGTCAGTTAACTTTGAAAATTCACTATAAATTGTACAGGTGGAACTATATGGAGTTCTTTATATGTTTAGATTTTTATTTGAGTCTAGTTTTCATTGGTACAAACATAATAATTTTTCATTACATAAATTAATATATAATAATATTTGTTTGAATATAGTGCAAACTGCTAGAATATGAAATTTTGATAAATTGTGTATTGAAAGTAGTGGAAGACAAATGATTTAAATCTAAAGCTTATTGAGGCTTATATTTTGATTAAAATATATATAAATAAAGTGTTAAACTATGTGCAGTTTGTTTATTTGATTATTATAGTCGATGATGACTTGCGATAAATTAACCTCATTTTATTTTTCAGTATGATTTATAAATTTTTAGTATGGAATATTGCTATAAATTTTTTCATCAAGTTCTATGAATGATTTTGGGTATGAAATGTCCAAGTATGATATTTATGATGATGAATTCTAAATGTTTACAGTTATCAGATGATTTTCAATTATCAGATATTTACAGATATCAAATATTTTACAATTATCAGACACATATTAATAAATGATTCTATGATGATACATATAAGCCAATTGTATGTTGCATTGAGAGGTATAGGTACATTTGGCATGCCATTTAGTGAGTACTTTTCAGTTTTCAGTTATCACTTATCAGTTATTAGTTCAGCTTTGGTACATTCGTGTCCCAATGTTCAGCACCGTTGGTGCTCAGGTTATGATTGCACTAAAGGGCATCATGTTGCAGTTTCATTTATGATTAGGTACTGTGTTGTGCGTAGTGTGCACCTTATATTCTCTTACATATACATTGAGCTATGACAGTAAGTGTTAAAGTTATGACAATATATAAAAGACAAGAACATAGAATAGAAAAGAAAGTTAGGAAATACATTTGAATTGAAAGAACAAAAGTTATTTATGATATTTGATGATGACTTACATGATTTTTGATAAAATAAATCATGAGATGATGATTTTCAGGTTTTCAGAAGGAAAAATAGTTTGACTAACATGGGTGGAAGTTTAATGTTTTATTTAAATTATAGTTTATTTACTATATTTTATGAAATTTATGGTTTTGTATCACTTTAGTTATATTGCTGCCTCATTAAGTTTTACTTAGTGTGTGATGATTTTTATGCATAGGTTCGAATAATATATAGGTCGTGAAGTGAGGTGCTTGCCAGCATCTTATGCAAAATCAAACCTACTGACAGTATCAGTAAGACATCCTAACTTTGACTTATTAGAGGCATGTACATTATATTTGTTGGGTTGCTTTATCAAATTTATTTTAAAAGGGTTTATAATAGTAATTAGGGTTATTTTCTTTAGTTTTGTCTAACTTTAGTATTAATCGTATTTATGGGTGAATAATATAAATGTTATATTTTAAGTGGTTTAACACCAAGTAATATTAGGCAGTTGTATTTGTATATTAAAAACATTGAACTGCCTAATTACTGATTGAAATCAAATTAGTTTTCAATGATTAAATAATATTTTATAAATTTATATGATTAAGAGAAAAAAAGTAAAGTTAAAAAGAAAATTATTAAATGAAACAAAAATTTTAAACAATTAAGTTGAACAAATATTACGAAACATATATGACTATGGTGTTACATTTTGGTGGCGGGGTTTATATTTCAAATGTCGGTGTGTTAGTTGTATCATGTTTTCTTTCAGTGTGTTCTTATTCATTTGACATATCTCCGCTGAAATTGAAATTTATTTTACCAATTTAATGTTCACAGGCAGGCTAGGCTAGTTGCATTAGAAACAAAATGCTTTTTCCATTCCCACACTCAGCTTCAATAAGGCTATAAAAGGGATCCTGAATCTCTCCCCGGCCAGAAAAAGCATATCATTCTCATATCCGCCTGTTTCCTAAATTCTAAGTTGAAATATCGAAAATGGATTCTTTGGGTTTAACGGATAAGCCCCATGTGGTTTGTGTTCCTCACCCCACTCAAGGCCATATCAATCCCATGATGCAGCTAGCTATGATTCTTCACCACAGGGGCTTCCATGTCACCTTTGTCAACACTGAGTTTAACCACAAACGACTACTTAAGTCCCGAGGACCGCATGCTCTTGACGGTCTCCCTTCTTTTCATTTCCATACCATTCCCGACGGCCTTCCGCCGACGGATGCCGATGCCACCCAAGACATTCCTTCCCTCTGCGAGTCCACCGGTAAAACATGCTTACCCTACTTTAAACAACTCCTCCACAAGCTAAACGACTCCACCACATCCGACGTCCCCTCTGTTTCTTGCATTGTTTCGGATGGCGTTATGAGCTTCACTCTTGATGCAGCTGAAGAACTTGGCGTCCCTAACGTTCTGTTTTGGACCCCGAGCGCTTGCGGCTTCCTTGGTTATGTTTATTATCGCCAACTAATGGAAAAGGGTTATACGCCTCTCAAAGGTAATTGTAAAGATTTCTTTTAGCTTAAAAAAATTTCCATTGACGTTTATTAATTATTGTTAATCTTGATTTTGCAGATGAAAGCTATTTAACGAACGGATATTTGGATACCGTCATAGATTGGATACTAGCAATGGAAGGCATCCGGTTAAGGGATATACCTTCTTTCATAAGAACAACTGACCCGGATTCCATTATGCTTCATTTCTTAGCCGTTGAAACTGAAAGAACTCGGAAGGCCTCAGCTATAATAATTAATACATTTGATGATTTGGAGCACGATGTCTTGGACGCGCTCAACTCAATGCTACCACCCGTTTACTCCGTGGGGCCTCTGCATCTTGTTTTGAACCATCATGTGCATGACAATGAATTGAAACAGATAGGATCCAATCTTTGGAAGGAAGAACCCCAGTGTCTCCAATGGCTAGACTCGAAAGAGCCCAACTCTGTTGTTTACGTGAATTTTGGGAGCATCACCGTTATGACAGCTGATCACTTGACTGAATTTGCTTGGGGGCTAGCAAACAGCAAACGACCCTTTTTTTGGGTCATCAGACCCGACCTTGTGGGTGGTGAGTCGGCAATTGTGCCGGCAAAGTTCGTAGAGGAGACCAAAGATAGAGGACTATTGGCCACATGGTGCCCTCAAGAACAAGTTCTAGGCCACCCTTCTATTGGAGGATTCTTAACACATAGCGGATGGAATTCCACGATTGAAAGTATATCCGCCGGCGTTCCGATGATATGTTGGCCGTTTTTCGCTGAGCAACCGACAAATTGTTGGTGTTCATGCAGTAAATGGGGAGTGGGCATGGAAATCGACAGTGATGTTAAGAGGGATGAAGTTGAGAGCCTTGTTAGAGAGTTAATCAAAGGAGGAAAGGGCAAAGAAATGAAGAAGAAAGCTCTGGAATGGAAAACAAAAGCAAAGGAGTCCATAGCCAATCCCGATGGGTCATCTTACAGGAACCTAGACAAAATGATCCAGGTTCTACTGTCACCCAGAGTTTAAGACTCCAAGGCCACTGCCACTTTAGTTTTTACTTTTATATAAATTATGCAGCGTTTTCCTAAGAATTAGTTTAAGCTCTACAAGTGTTTAGTTCAATATTTATTTAAAATATTAAGCATTACATTTTGTTTAATTTAAGAATGTCCATTGTAATCTTGATGGTGTTACATTGTTTTTGTTAGAACGAACCAATATAATATTATTGAGGGTGATAAATTTACTATAAAAAAAACGATTATGTCTAATATTGAGCAAAATCGACCATGAGGTGATTTTTTTTTTGAAATAGTGTCGGTTGGAGATCATTTTCTATAGTAGCGTTTTATCTATTTTACATCGGAGAAGATGTTAGAACTACAGTGTATTTTTTTATATTTTTTTTATAAAAAACGTCGTGTCATTCAATCATCTTCTAAAAAAATATTATTTCATCCAATCATTTTTCGGTTGTATTGTAACTTTCTCACTTGAAAAAAAAATCACTGCCGTACCTAAACAATTTTATCTGTAATATTTTTATTCACGTAATTTATTTTATTTAAGAAATTTAAATAAAATGTAAGAAAATAGAGATTTTTATGATACATATTTAAAAAGATATATATGATGACATGGAATATTGTTGTCCTCGTGAATAATTTTATTAATTTTTAAAAATAAAAATAAGGTAAAAGATAGAGTTTTTAAATAATAATGTTATATTTGTTAAAATACACAATGACGTGGAATATTATTATCCACATTAATAATTTTATTAATTTTTTTAAATAAAATGTAAGGGAAAATATGGATTTTAATCTTTAGTGGTATCAGTTTCGATAGAGTTTTTTTTTTATACGCCATGCCAATTTTGCACGTGCCGAATTTTTCTTGTGTTGTCAAGATCAACGATTTCAACGGCTGATATTCATTTCTTTGTCGGAGGTAATCATAGCAAGACGACTCAATAGCGCGGCACTGTCCATGTCAACACCGAAGCTTAGATTTGTCGTTATCACAGCAGTTGTCAGTGGCAACCCCTCGTTTGTTCCTTCAAAAATTTAGTACTTTAATTTAATTACTTTATTTTTCTTTTCATTCAATTGAAATTTTATATTTTTGACCCTTCTCACGTATTCATAATTTAATTTAAGAAATTTAAACACAAAATTTTTTAACTTTGATATGACCTTTAATTTTTATTTCTACATTTTTGACTTGGTACAATTGATCAGCACTGTTTCAAGTTTATGATGAGAATAACGCTGAGTTTTGAGAACCGATAGTGTAAAGTGCATTTGAATATGCATATCTACAGTCAGAATTTCATTGTTGGTTAATGATTTTTAGATAGAAATCTATATTAAGAGAGGGATGCCCCCCTCCTCCCCCACTTTTCATTAATTTGGTGGAATCTTTTGAGTGTTATTTTATAAAAGGTTGTGGAGATAGGGCTGTCCAAAAGCATTGGAACCATTGTGAAAATTTCTTGGTATTCCCATTTTCAATATACAAATGAGTACATTTTTTTGTTTGGGGGGGGGGGGGCAGAAGGGAGATGCAACTATGTGACGTTCAAAGAGTTTTGAATGCTTGAGCCCATTTGTGGTCGAAAGATTGAATTATGATAATATGAGAGTGAAATAAGGCTATGAGAAGAACATAAAAACTAATCAAAGATTGTACAGTTTAAACATTTTGGCAGGCATAATGAGTTATTCTTCCCTTTCGGGTTGTTATACTTTCAGAAATTATGGCCCCAGCTTCTGTTTCTGTGGAGGGAGGCTGATGAGTCTGAGAATCTGAGACCAAAATCAGTAACAAAATTTATGACGAGCATACATATTTACAAGTGAAAACAGAAACAGGTACATTCTTTTTCTCAAAAGAAATGAATTTGAAACCCCAATATAACTCAGTTCCATCATATATGTGAAGCCTAAACAATGCTGGTAGTAAAAAAATTGAAGGGATAGAGTGTGACAAGAATTATTTACCTGCAAAAGAGGGAAAGGGGTGCCAAGTGAGATGGAAGGGTGGGGGAGGATAGTTGGAGAAGGACCCCTCCATTTGGTAGGATAGTAAAGATATGACCGTCCTACGATACATTGAGCCTAGGATGCAGAAAATGTTCCCCTGGATGCTTGCAAAGAGTAGCCAAAATAGTATGGTGACCCCATTATGGTAGATGCTGATCCATACAGTTGATGATAGTATTGTGCCTGTTGGATTTGTGGATTATACAGAGTTTGCATTGCTTTATACTTGTATATTAATGCTAATTTTCAGTTGAATTATGATACGAAATCGGCAGAGAAATAGGTTTCCTCGATTACTAGGTGTACTCGTATTCAGGAATGTAAGTGGGAAACCTGGAAATATGGAATTCATCAAAAAGAATTAGTAGCAATATGAGCAAATGACTGAACTTAAAGATCAACAAAGAACCAAAAAAAAAATGGTTTCCCTTGGAAGCAAATTGCAAGAAGCAGCATTCATATATAATAAGGAATTAGTGATAGCTAGCGTATAAAATCCAAGGGACTACTTGCAACACTACCTTAAGGTTCCGCCATGGTAGAGGTAGAAAGAATTTTCGGTGGAGTGGTGAAATGTATAGAGATCGAAAAGAATATCAATGCTGAAAGCACTTTGTTGGACTTACAATGGCACTGAGAGGCGAAAGCTCGACTGATGTAGAAGATATGATCGTAGTACATGAGGTAAATGTAACAAAAATATAAAACAGAGGGAACAAGAGTTGGATTTCATCATTACAACAAATCTCTATGTTTATTTGTACCCTTGATTTCCATGCTTTAACCCTTTTATTTTTGAAGTTAATGTTTTTTACCTTTGCCTTTAACATCTGCTAGCAAAACTCAAACTTAAAGCTCAGAGAGCGAATGAAGTCGCTGATAAAATGGTAATGAAAACCCTATATTACTTTCTTTTTTGAACACTCGGTGTCAAGCCAGTATGTGACACGTACATTGTATCATACTATCATTGACTGCATTGGTATTGTATGGTTCCCATTCTTTTTACCTTATTAGTTTTATCCTAGTGACGACAATTTTCTAGTCAAATGCATGATCATTTTACTATGTACAGTGATATGCCAACTGCATCGAGAAAACAAAAACTAGGCATGATGTAAGTATGTTAACACTAAAAATCAAGATTAAATTTTTTAAAGGTATGCATGTATGATGTACCACATCTTCTAACTAGAGCATGGAACAACCAATGGCTTGATTTGATCGAAAACAACATGGAGTGCTTGTTATGTGTTTGGCATGTAATATTACAAGCCTACAATTTGGTAAGTCTAAATGTTGGTCAAAATTAATAAGTATCAGAGTTCAATTTTACCATTAAAGATTAAAAGATGACAATTATTTTAGTCAAAGATGGATATAAAATTAAATGCACAAAAGAATTCAAGTTGACAAGTGACTACGATGGACACCAAGTGTTATAAGTTAATTCAGGTTGACAAGTCGGTAAGTGGTCAATTTTTACACATGAAAAAAATTATCTTTAGTCCTTTAACTATTAGGTTATTTGTAAGTTGGACATACCAATATTTTTATCAGTGATGATAACAGTTTCAAGAATCTCTCCCAACTGCTCAAAATACCTTCGCATTTCCTTGGTCGGAGCCTCTCAAGCTAGTCCCCCAACAAACACTTTAGTAAATGTTGTGTCACCAAAAAGTGATTGATAATGTGGGTAAGCCATTGCATCTAAACAAACAAAGCAACAAATGGGTAGCTTTCCTTTGGAGAAAACTCTCTTTTTGGATTCATCACATATTATGGTTGACAATAATGGATCAGAAAACCGAATCCTCTACGATTCCACCTCATTTCCCTTACTTTTTGTTCGACTGTGTTTGTCTCTATATCCATTCCCCAGTCCCCCCCCAAACCACTTGCTTCTTTTGATTTTGGGTAAACTACATGTTAGTACCTAGACTATTAATTTTGTTTCATTTTAGTATCTAAACTTTCACTTGTTTCAAAATTATACATAATATTTACTTTTTGATTCATTTCAGTATCCTGACGTTAAAAACTTAACGAACTGCACGTGGCATTTTTTATGGGTAAATTATATCATTCATCACTTAACTATCTTCTCACTCCTATTTTGTCACTAAAGTTTAAAAATTTTCAATTTAACTATTCAACTTTCAAATTGCTCATGTTTTAATTACTCCAATTTATTTTATTAATAACTTTTGTGACATGAAATTTTTATTATTATTTTATTAATATATAATTAAAAAAATAAAAGTTAGAGTGATTAAATTAGGAATAATTTGAAAGTTAAATAATTAAATTTAGAAAAAAAATGAACTTCAACAATCAAAATTAGAGTGAGAAAATATTTGAGTGATAAATTATGTAATTTACCCATAAAACAGTCTACAATTTTTTTATTTTATAGAAGTGGTAAAATGTTTAAACGTTTATTTCGATAACCATGAATGAGATCAAAACATTCAAAGGAACTGCGGTTTGCCTTCGATTTTCACTGAAAACAAATATGATAACTTTACACTTTCCAACATCTGGTGTGGTGGCGCATTGGTTACCGCGTAGATCTCATAGCTTCTGTAATCCTGAGGTCCAGCTTCTCTCACCCCTGTTTTTCCCCCCCAAATGTAGGCACAATGCTTGCGCTATTCGTTGTCATGCATGCCTTTAAGTTTATTTGGCTGAATTGGAATCAGACACCATGCAATTAGTCCAAATAATTTTCTTTGTCTTAATCAACATCTGGGGTGGTGGCGCAGTTGGCTAGCGCGTAGGTCTCATAGCTTTCTGAGTGATCCTGAGGTCGAGAGTTCGAGCCTCTCTCACCCCAACTCAAACTTTTTACCAAAAATTTGACAATGCTTACGCCACTCGGCGTCATGAATGCGGCATGCCTGTACTTTTCTCCCAAGTTGGATTGGATGGGCTTATTCTTTATGTTTCTTCGGCTGAATTGGGATCAGACACCGTGCAATATGCTCTGCAATATA